GATTAAGTTTTATTTTCTAAGAAGATGTAAAAAGCTTGGTAAGGACTCACTTCCTCTAGAAGCTGTACCTGAACAGGACTGTTTGCCTGATCGAGTTCACTGCCAGGCGGGCCGGCCCAGCAGAGCACACAGCAAGGGAGGGGCCCCCGCTTCCCTCAGACCCTTAGCTTCAGGCAGGGGTCAGGTTTCCCATCCGACGGCGCGAGATGTGAGAACGTGGATGCGGTGACACCGGCAACATTAGCAACAGCTTCAGCCCAAGCTGACTGGATTCTAGCCTCAGCTATTCCCCAATCCCACCGTGACACGGTGGAGAGCTCACCTTGGTTTCCTTTGCTTTAAACAGCAGCTCTCTTACCTCTCCTACTACAGTAGGAAATAATTATTCAGAATTGCCTTCTTATACATTCAGCAAATTAAAGCAGCAATGGGTTTCTTTCCTCAGTGACACTCATCTTCAGATTTATGGTAGGTGTGAAAATGGCACATCCCACTACTGACTTGCTATGGACCTTCTCCAGTGGACTTAATTCACAGCCTTCCTCATTGTACGTACCAGGCACTGTCTTCCCTTTCAGAGGTGGGATTTCCCTGTTAATCCGAGAACTTGTCAGGGGACAGAGCAGGCCTCTCACACCGTAAAAGGGCCTTGAGCTGCCCCTCAGTTCTTTTTCCGACACAGATTCCCCAGCTTGCGGAGCCTCCCCGGCTCTCCTGGTCCCCCACCCCAGCATCCGGGGGGCATCCAGGAAGCAGCAAGCGAAATTCAAGAAATGTCTGACGAAGCACAGTCTAGCCCCTTCCCCCACATGTAGTCCTCTCAGGAAAGGATCTTCCTTGATGGCAGGACTTAAGGTTTTCATTCTCCAACCCTGGTGCCGAGGGGGCAGAAATGGAGTATTGTACATCTGCAGAGTAGCCTTAGGTTAGTTTACTTCATAAAAGGCATGCTTTCCTTTTTTCCTCCCCCTTTAATTTAATCAAATACTCAAATCATTAATATACTCTCGTTACAAAAATCTAGCTGTCCCTCCGTATCCTCAGAGGATTGGTTCCAAGAGCCTCCTCAGATAGCAAAATCCACAGGTGCTGGAGTCCAGTACGTAAAGTGGCAGTGCGGTGACTCTGGGTGTGGAGGGCTGGCTGTGTGCATGTAAAGAGCAATGTCCCCCGTGTTCTTCTCCCTATTCTAGTCTCCCCAACACCGAGAGGTGGCTCTGTTAAGAGTTTGGTGCGTTTCCCAATTTTTCCTTGTGTGTTTACATACATGTGTGCTCACGTAGAAATACATATTTTGTTTTTATTAATAGAAATGGGACCTTACTATTAACTGTTTTGAAACTTGCTTTTTACACTCAAAAATACTGAGCTTTTTCCAAGGCAGTATACATTCATCTGTCTCATTTTTTAAACTGCTGCAGCATTTCTGTAATACAGGTGTGTCATAGTTTATTTAACCTTTCCCTGTTGATGGATATTTGTTTCTGGTTTTCGTCCTGTTTAATTTTCTAAAGCTGGGTGCAGTAAGGTATACTTTACATGCAGTAAAACTCATCCTAATGTGCAGATTAAATTTTAACAGTCACGTCGCCACCACCATAATCAGGATTTCCATTACTGCAAAAGTTCCCTTGTGTCTCTTTGTAGTAAACCTGTCCACGCACCATCAACCCCGACAAATACTGATCTGTGTTCTTATCCCCACGGCTTTGCTGTTTCTGGAATGTCACACAATCGGAAGCATATAGGATGTAGCCCCACGAGTCTGGCTTCTTTCACTTGGCACAAGGCATGGGGGTTCATCCGAATGGCTATGCATCAGGTCCTGCATTTTCACTGCTGAGCCGTATTCTGCTGCATGCCTACACCGCAGTTTATCTATAGTCACAAGCTGGTGCACATTTGGGTTGTTTCCAATTTTGGGCAATTAGGATTAAAGCTGCCCACGCATCTGTTAATGGGTTTTTGTTTGCACATATTATTTTCACGTCTCCTCCTGGGAAAATATGTAGGGAGGGGTGGGACTGCTGGGTTGTATGGTGGTATGCTTAACTTTACAGAAACAAAAAACAAAGAACAAAAAACCCACCAAGCTGTTTTTCAACATACCTGCATAATTCTGCATTCCCGTCAGCAGGGTGAAGAGAGTTCCAGTTGCTCTGTATGTTCGTCAGCACTTGGTACTATCAAGTTTCTAAAATTTTAGCCACTCTAAATACTAGTAACATTATCTTGTTGTGGTTTTACTTTGTATTTCCTTGATGACCAATGGTGTTGAGCAGCTTTTCATGTGCTTATTTGACCATCCATGTCTTCTTAAGTGAGGTATACACATAGATCTACTGCCCATTTTTAAACTGAGCTGTTTTATTATTGAATTTTGAGAGGTCTTTACACAGTCTAGATAGTCCTGTATGTTTTATAAATATTTTCTTCTCTATAGAGTTTTTAAAGTCTCCCTTTCAACATCGCTGATGTGAGATGGTTACTTATTTCTGAACTGCTATCGGTAGTTTCAGGCTATACTGGTCTCTTCAGAGATCCACATTTGACAAATGTTTACTGAACATATGTCACAGAAGGCACATGATCACACACACTCATCATCCTGACCCCTGGTTCCTGGCACACAATGGACATTCAATGGGTTTTCGCTGAATGAATGAATGAGTGAATGACTAAAGTGGTTCATAGGCTTTTGTTCAAGGAGAAAGTAGAAATGGCAAAAAGAAGTAAGACTTAAATGTCATGAGGACTAGCCTAGTAAATGCTGTAATTTCACATTCTAGTAACGAGATCAATGTATTATAGACATCCACTGTATGTGTTCATAACAATGATTCTGAGGCATTGTATAAATCCTTTCGTGTTTTAGGAATTATTAATGGTTAAATTATTTTCAAATAAGTTTTAAAGTTAAGTATATATTACCGCATTCAAATGGTTTAAAAATTGGAAATCCATATAGAGTACAAATGGTGACAATGAATTAACTGGAATATTCTGACTGAGTGCAACACTTAGTTCTCACTTCTATGCCTTCGTGGTACTGTTATCCGTCTACATTCTCTTTTCCAACTAGACTGTGAATGCTTCTAATTCCTAGCACTTATGGGTCCATGGTGCCTGGGGTATATTCATGGTCAATGAATACTTGCCACATACACAGCCACCGTGTTTCCTGAATACACCAGATTAAAGTTTTTAGGCCAGCAACATATTCTTTTCCACAAAACAATAAAAACTCATATCTTCTTAAGACCTTTCAAATATAAATTTCAACATTTAAAATGCGGTATACTAATACTTTAAGAAAATCATTCTTTAACACCCTAACATTTAAGACTAAATGACTTGACAGAATCTAATTTAAACGGGAAGCTAAAGCATCAAAAAAGTCCTTTTTAACGTAGATGATTTCTAACAAAATCAGATACTAGCTGTTAATTAAACAAGCTGAAAGCAGATTCTGGTACTCACTTTGCCCTGAGGGTAGAATTTCCCTAGAGGGATCAGAACTCATGATGATATGTTGAGCAGGAAATGGTTCTATAAAACTATCTACCTTTCAGCACTAATTCTGAGAATTAAATGAGATAATATTTTAGAGCATTTAACACATTGCCAGGCACTACTTACTATTATTTCACTAATATATACCAACAATGATAAAATAGCTTCAAAGAAAATTTGTTCATAGACCATTAGGGACAACTGCAGCTCTGCTGAAATCAACAAGAGCTGCTTCTGATACAACAGAGCAAAACCTGTTTAGCTTTTTCTCAGACATTACTGTGGCAACATGTGATTTCAAATCTTTTCAACGCCCATAATCTAACTATATTTTGTCAGTTAAAATATCCCCTACGTGTGTGCACTAGTTGAGTTGAACAATCTCAGTTATTGCATATGGCCTTCCTGTCCTCTTATGATGTGACATCTTACCAGATGTGTATCTCCCTCATCAGCCTTCTTCTCTCGCCATCTCACAGTGGTTATAAGGGTTTAGGATTCTGGCTGTCAAAAACCATGTCTATCAGAGCAAGAGAGGCCTGAAATGAAAGAAAAGGGAGCCCAGGTCGAAGGGAGAGTCTCCTCCATGACCAATAGCTCTATTTTTGTACTAAGAAAGCAATTTCAAAAAATTAATCAGGAATGGTGCCAGTCTACCACCTAGATTAGCTCTAATACTGAATAGATAACACGTGTTCAGGACACAAGCAGATACTGTCAGGTGTGATGAGGTAAAAGGTTAACAAAATAAGCAGAAGAAACCAGGTTTGCAGAAATACCAAAGCAGAGCTTTGAATGACATACACAGCTCTGCCCTGGGAACCCTATTAGCAGCCAGCAAGTTCAATCTAGCAGGTGCTGTCATCACAAAAACAAAAGGCAGGGGACACAGGTCTGTTTCAGGGCAGTATCATACATCCACAAGGACAACATTTGGGAGAAGAGATATACCATGAACAAAGTGCAGGACAAGTATCCAGAATTCTCAGCTCTATACAGATTTATCACACCATTATCCATCTGCTTTCTGACATCGAGCCATAGGAACTAGGAACTGAAAGGTAATGGGGATGTAACATTTGGTTCCTGCACCAGAACAAAGCAGGATAAGACAACTGGAGGTAGGGTAGGGAATGGGACCGCCCTCCTCAATCAGAATTTTATTCCACAGTGGGAATACAAGGATAAAAATTTTCTTAATGCAGTGGTATTCAGCCTCAGCAATTTGGTGTTTTGCTGCTAAAAGTCAAATGACACAGAAAAATATTTACCTCAATGGATAGATATTTCCTTGATTTGTTTTAATTACATAACATTTAAATTTTTTGGCATTTGCTACTTCTTGGTTGCAAGCGTACAGAAGCAGCTGACAAAATGAGCAAGTAAGAAGAAATTTTTCATTGTGTTTAGTTTGCTAAAGCTTCTTTTGTTTTGATGGTCTTGTTTGTGGGTATGTCTAATATATAACATTTTGTGCTAAGAAAAACTTTGACCATGGACAGGTATTGCTTTTATTTAAAATTAATTAAAAAGACAGATAAAAGAAAACATTTTCATTCCCCAGGAACTGGTTCCTCTACAACCCTCCTTTAGTCTGTGAACAGCATCTGTCATACAATAGTCAATACGCGCCTGCTGAGTGTGCAGTAAAATTCAGGGGCAAAGTCAGTCTCTGGGAAGCTTATAATATGGATGGGAGATATATACCTTGACCTGTCGGAAAAGTATTTAATTTCTAGTTATTTTAAAAGAAAAAAAAAAGGACAGGAAGAAAGACCAATTGATCATGACCTTTTCCATTTCTCATGTCACCGTCACTAGGGTAAAATAAGCTAATGATGAAAACTGCTGTCTTAGTACAAACATAAATGCTATCCTTTTATTAATGTGTGTTAATATGAAACACAATCACTTGTTAAAAGAAATACAGACAGTCTTGTTCTTCGACAATTTCAGAATAAGGAACTTTGGCTTGCTTTCCCTTTTGAGAGTGTCTGTAGTTGACGACCTTTTTCTTGTTATGCCGTTCACTTTGGGTCTGCATTACCTTAGCAACTTAGAGAGAAACAAGGACAGGGAGTCCTCATTTAGAAAACGTTTCCTAGTTTTACACTTTAAAAGCTAATATTTAAAAAGAAAAACCTTCTTCAACCTCTGACTCCATCATGAATGATCTGGTTTACTACAAGTCTATAAATAAATGTGTTCTTTTTCCTCAAAATTACTTAAGCAACTTTACAAGAATTATTGTTTAGAAATTTACCTAGAGAAATTAAAGTTACCAGTCATTTTCCCCCTGTGACAGATGGTGTTCAAGGAGTCACATATCAATGCCGGCTGCTTAGTGCATCACCCTTGTTGTTCCGTTAGCAGGTGGGCTTTGAGTTTTCTCAATCACTCTTTTCTTCTCCTTGATAATGTCTGTACTCTGGCTTCAGCTCCCATGTGTTTTTGTGGATCCCTTTTACATTCTGAATACCAATTTCTCTTAAGATTTCCTTCAGGTACAACTAAAAAGACAGAAACAAAAACACCTTGACAGGTGAGTTTATGAAGGCAGGAAACAAAATTTAAAATAAAATATGTTAAACCACATCTTCAAGAAATAAAAATTATGATCCTGAAAGTTCAACAATATTTCTCTATAAAGAAGTTCAATAAACTGCCTTTTTGATTCTACGCATGCAGTACATAACTGCATTAAAGATATGATCAGTTGCATTAAAGGGGATGGAAGTCCTTAGTGCTAGCAACTTTGAAAGCTAAAAAAACCCCAAACCAAAAAACAAAAAAACCCACAAATCCCAAAAAAGTCTAGATGAAGATACAAAGATTACTAGCACTTAATATTTATTAAGATGACACAGTATACCAAGTGTAATTTGCCCTTGAGTTCAGGGGCATCAGTGAGTTCACAGTCAGATGGGGTTATTCTTAGATTGGAAACAGTCAATTCAGAAGCAGTAGCATATATTAAAAAAGGCCATGTATCTCTGCAACATTAAATTCTATGAGCAAGCACATGACAGATACCCAGAATCCTAAGCTGTGAGTTCTCAAACTTGCTATCGGGCCACTTATTTTTCTTGGGTAACAAGGAAGTTATTACTTATGCTTACTATTGTTTGTATCTTGGCCAAGCTTGCCAAGGTGAGGGATGAGAAGTGGTAACAGGACATGTGAAAAACCTGGGGGCTGCAGCTTTCCTTTTTTTACCAAAGGAAAGAGATGAGTGATGATGCAGGGGAGAACTCTGTGCCATGGTATCTCAGGTTCCTGAAAGCTCAGTGTTACCCAAATGATTACTGCATTCATGGAAATGATGGTTATGATAAATGCAACATCAAACCCCACCTCCGCCTGCCAATGCCTAAGGCCAAAAACATTCCACTAAACACTGACCAATACAAATTACAGAACTTCCTTCTCAGGGAAGAGAGAAGAGTTAATCATTTAAAAGTGACTTTTTTCCTTCTTCTTCTGCAGAACAAACCAACTCAACAATAATTTTTGTGTGTATGCTCCAAAGAATCAGTTACAGGTATATTGCAGTGACTCATCCCATTGATGGAGGATGTAATTTTTTTTTATTTATTGAAATGAGGCACTAGAAAATGGTTGAGAAGCTGACATCTCCCCTAATACTTGATAGTGTTTAAGGCAGTGCCTTACTGAAATGTGTGCTAGACTAATCTGCATCAGGACCGCAGGGGAAGCCTGGGAAATAAGTCCCATTTTAGGCCTAGTGAATCCAAATCTCTGGGGCCAGGCCAAGGAATCTGCATTTCACGAGCCCCCAGGAGCCTCTGATTTAACTACACTAACCGCAGCACCTGCTTATAGGATTCTTCCCGCTCTAATACTCTGTAATCCTTGGGTCCTTGAAGTATTACTTAGTTTCCCAAGCCGCTCCCCTGCTGGAGACCACGCGTTAACCCACATAATCTGACATGACCTTACGCTGACTGGTGTAATGCTCTACAGTTTATAAAGTCCTCTCATTCATGGGTATCTGTTCAGGACTGGAACTACATACGGGTCCTTCAATCGGCCCGATGGCTTAGCTCCCACTTGAGCAGCTTCCCCAGCCTGGCAGCCAGGCCCCAGCAGGTGGCAGCAGCGAATCGAATGAAGCCTGGATTTCCCCAGGAGGAGGCCGGCCCGCCTCCCACACCTGTTAGCTGGCTTTGCTGACGGACCCGGGTAAGGAAGGGAGTAAGTGTATCACTCAAGCAAGCCTGACACAACCGGGTAATACGCAGCATGCCTGCTGCCTGCTACTTCAGATTGCATTGAAAAAATGGGACACTGTTCATAAACTACTTTCTAACCAAACAAGATTCAAAAGTGGAGAACGATGGGTTGGGCTTTGATGTTTAGTTTAGGTGCCATGAGTGACTGCTTTATAACATTCCAAAGAACGGCTTACTGTGAGATGGCTAGACCCCGTGCACCATCATACAACTGTGGATGCACTGCAATGGGTCACATGTGAAGAGAGCAACTGCCAGGAGCCCTGTGAGTGCCTGACAGATGCTCCCTTCACTTCAAGTCTAGCCCGTTCATAATCTAGATACGGAAGATGAAAAGCCTAGAAAGGGTTAAACACAAAATATTAAGACAGTCGTAAGTGTACAAACTCAGTTGCTTACGTGTATAGCCCACCCTCATTTTGTTAAACTAGTATAATAAGGTTATGGAGTACTTGTTTCTCATGAAGATGTCACCCTTTTTTCCTTTTTAACAATAAGAAGGGACATTCTCGGTCTGTCAATTTGTCGAGTAGCAAGATGGGATTAGTGTCACAATATCCAGCCATGGTAACGGAACTCCTTTTTTTGGGGGGAAGGGGCAAACTTCCTAAGTCTGAGAATGTTCGAAATTGCAACCTAAGACCATTTTACTATAACTAAATGAATTAACTTTGTACAAAACATTAGCGGAGAAAGTAGTAGTAATAATAGAGAAAAACAAGGTCAGACAATCCTTGAAGGAAAGACACAGGCAGGGAACGGTGAGATCATGTCATTTCTCTGTTTAAAAATTCTCAATGACTTCCTCTTTGGCCTACACATGAAATTCCAAAGTCTCTCACAGGCATCCACTCAGGTCTGTCTTTTCCCTTTGGCCTCATCCTCTAACACTTCCTTTTTCACACAATTGCCATGTGTCTGCATGCTTCTAGTTTTCTTCCACATGCTCTTCCCTCTCCTTGTAATGTTTATCCCCTTTCCTCAGATCTGGACTCCACATCCTTTAAGACTCAGCACAAATGTCACTTTCTGAGAAACTTTCCCTAACAGTCCCACTTCTCAGATTTACATTTCACACTGTACGTGCTTCAGGGAGAGCCCTCAGCTCTATTATAACTTTTATGTACACGGCTATCTCTTCCATCAAATCACGTGCTCCCATTCCAGCGCCTGCCTGCACATCACAGAGGCACCGTGCATGTGTGCTGAATGACCTGGGAAGAGTAAACAAGAGAGCTAAGAGGACTGGGTGGGGGAGGAGGTGGTGACTGGGGGGAGATCACTTAGAAGGCCCATAGGAATAAACTGCTAACTCAAGCTGTTTTCATTTTTCATCTAATTAATGTACAGGGCAATGACCCAGTTTGAGATATAAAAATTGATTCAACTGTATTACCTGAATCTGAATAACATTTACCACCAAAATCTGTATTATAGTGCTAAAATATCTGAGACAAAGCCAAGTGAGGTGGAAATTTTAAGAGTTCCAGCAGGATTGAGGATTAATTGGTAATCTACCTTTCCTTTTAAACAATTTACATATCCACACAAATATTTATTTTAGCACCAGGTAGAGTGGCACATAGTCTGTTTTAATCCTCATAGAGTTCCCAGTTTAAGATTAGGGTGTGTTTAGGGGAGAAGAAGGCATATAAGCAGGCAATTATAAAATAAAAGACACACAGTAATAAGGACACATACACAGGATCTTACAGGAGCACCAGGAAGAGACACCCTGTCCAGCCTGAGTCAAGATGTTGGTCCGACTTTGAGGATGTACATTTGATTATTTGAATTGAAAGACAATTGTGTGCAGGGATCAAGAGAAACTAGTTTTCCATCTGTTTATTCTAAACACTGACTCTGCAGTTTAATCTTTTGTCTGACCACTTAATTTTAAACAGAGATTCCAGAACTGAGTAGATCACCTTTATGTCACATAGAACTGGAAAGATTTCTCATTACTGACCAATGGGTGGTTCTGCAGAACAAGATCTGAAACAAACTGGTTCAGGTCCAGCAATTCTAAATCAAAGGGCTGTGTGGGAGAGTACTGACAGCAAGTCTGAATGCAGAGAAAGAAGAGACAGAACATTACAGCTTCCTTGCAAGGAAAAGCAAAGCACATACTGGAGGAAACAAGTAAAGTGAGTAGGATATGCTTTGCGTTTGTGGATCAAGATAAAACTGTGGCCAAAACCCCAGAAACCCACAGACCAAGTTCCTAATCCTGCCCCTCCCCCACAAGACCGAGACAAACCTATGTAGGTAGAGCCACGAGGCCCAGGAGCCAACCAGCCTAGCCTCTCTTCTCTTCCCTCCCCTGCCATTTCTCATATCTTTTCCTCCACTGCTCTGCCAACCAAATGGAGGATTTATCTGCATTTCATTTTATCAGGAATTTTACTGTTAAGCATCAGTATACATAATAATAAATGAACTATATCTAAATTCCTGGAAGTTGATAAAAAACATGCCTTTGACAGAGAGTTGACCACCAAATAATAATGCTTTGGGTAAGCGAATGATACATCCCTACTAGACTTCTGGTCACAAAATCTTCTCCAAAACGTTGGACTGAAGATGCATTATGCAAATCTATACCAAAGATGGCACCGGTTAACACAGTCACCAAAGGGCAAATGCTATATGCTTTTTATAAAGGGACCCAACGGCAAGGGCATTCATTATCAGTTCTGTGATAATTTCAAAATATCACTTCATGTTTATGTGATTTTTGTGTGATTGACTGTGACTCCTTTAAGCAAGGTCAACAGAACAGAGACTTCCTAATGAAGATGTTAGTGGCTCCAAGGCACAAAATTCTTTCATTAAAAAAATAAACAAACCACACATTAACATGCATAAGCTGTGAACAAAGGCAACCTATGTTTTCACCCCTTTAGACAGAGAGAACTGTGAATGGGAGAGGGAAGATGATGCTAAGGACCTGGAACATGGGCCAACACAGCACTTTTCTCCTCTTTCCTTCTTCTGGTTTCACCTCTGCTTTTCTACTAGTCCCTGCCCTGTCATCCTCTCATGGTCCCACATGCTGCATTCCTCCCTTCGTCAAACTCTTAAGCAGAGAGATGATGAATAACGCAATGGTCAGGCACAAACCCTACGCACACTGCACCCCTACCTTATGGATGAAGCATTATTCACTTTTAAAATGTCTGTAACGGAAAGTAAAGTTTTACTTTAGGGCAACAGTAGATAAAAGTGTTTGCTGGATAAGGATTTAAAAAGGATTG